CCCCAAAACCCCAAAACCCCAAAACCCCAAAACCCCATGAAGCTAATTTTTTCGATAATCAGAGATAAAGATAGAGTATATTCACTAAATTTAATATGTTTAAGTTTCTTTCAAATTTATAAACTTGCAGAGTCATTTTTCTTTATCACTTTAAATTATTACTACAATAAAATTTCTTTGAATGGATTGCAATCTTCGAATGAAAGAAATTAAGGGTTAACTACTCTTATCTAAATTAGCTACAACAACGACTACTCTCTCAAGTGAAATGTCATAGAGAGGTTCAAGCACAAGCCAGGTTGGTCTTAGCATGAAGTTTGAAGATATCATGGTCTGGGACAGCGAATAAAATGAAAATTAATTAGTAGAGATTCAATAATAAAACCCTTAAAATGGATCACTAAACTTATTTCAAACTTCATTAGCATATGTAAGCACCATCATAGGTGGAGGAATAGTTTCCCTTCCTTATGCATTCATGGCAGCAGGCATATATGTGGGAGTTCTAGTCCATATCACTAGTGTGTTCTTGATGCTAGCATCTGTTTGGTTTTGCCTTAAAGCCAAAGACTTCCTCGGATATGAGTATGTTGCCATTCCATTTCAATGTTTATATTATCCGCTATTTTTTTCGCTCCTTATTTCAAAGAACTCTTGTCTTAATTTTAATTATAGATCATTTTCAGAGATAGCATATATATGTTTTGGGAGATCATCTGTATTCTTGATTAACTTTATGATAGCGTTTTGCATTACTGGAGTGATCTCTTTATACATGAGTAAGAATAATTATGATGTCATGGCCTAACTTTAGTTTTATTTTCAAATATTACCATATCAATATTTGGAAGCTTAATCTCAGACCCAGAATCCCTTGCTTTCATACTTCTTAATAGCAAAGGATTTTATATAACATTGCTTTTTCTCACACTTCTACCAAATTTATTAAAGAGAAATTTGCATGAATTGAAAATGAATAGTTATCTCTTGTTCACTGGCGTCATTTTCTTAATAGTTACATTTATTTACAAAGGAACCGTCATTCAAGAATCTGACTAACCTCCAGTTATCTCAAAGCATGAAGATTTCTCGTTTGAAAAGCTGATGGACTCCTTCAACATCGTCATTACCGCTTATGGGTTTGTTATTAATTTTTTCCCTGTTTACAAGTAAGTATCTTTATACTCAATTTCTAAACAGTCCCAAAAAACTGTGATCAATCTTAATTCCTAATATTTAGGAATTTGAAAGGCAGGTCTAACACCAGAGGATTTATTACTGTGATAATGGCGCTGTTCTTCTGCTTCTCGACATATCTTTTATTTTCATTGATGACTCACAGAGTCTATGGTTCAGAGCTTAAACCTAGTATATTTGAAAACATAAAGAATGATTCTGGAATAATCTCATATACTCTTAGAAGCTTGTTTTCTTTGATCTTTTTCTGCAACATTCCATTTGTGTTTTTCGCAGGCAAAGAATGCGTATTGACTATGATACTGGAATATAGAGAAAGAAAGGTTTCAATTAAATTAGAAAAGGATCTTGAACGATAACATTTGGAAAGGCTGTTATTAGAAGTAGGAGGAATGGATTAGGAAAAATTATAAAAATAATAAGAAATAAATGAAGAATAAATTGAGAATAAGTTATACTATCCCACAGTTATTCTCTTCTTTTTGACTCAATGCATTTTGGGATTTGTAATCAGTGATTTGACTATAATTTTCGGATTCGTCTCTGCCTGCTCTGAAGCTACAGTCAGCTTCATATTTCCTGGACTGTTTTTTATAATAGCAGCAAAAAGATCGAGGAAAATAGTGCCCCTATACCAATCGATTGGAGCATTATGCTTTTCACTCTTTGGATTAGTATTTTTCATGATATCTAACTACTTCAATTTCTTGAAATTGCTCAGAGATTGAAACTAATGATTTTTTGTATATTTGAGACTGAACGTTCATAAATAAAGTATTTAATTAAAGCTATATGAAGAAGTTATCATAATGATTGTACTAAGCTTATTATAATAGAATTTATTTAAATCCATTATTTTTTCTCATTTCGATATTTATTATTAATTCTCCTTGGGGTTTTGGGGTTTTGGGGTTTTGGGGTTTTGGGG